ACTAAAATACATTAGAATATCCACACTGATTTCATGAAGGAACATTCAAAATTCAAAAACAAGTGATATGTGAAACATTTGAGGTGCCCTGAAATATATTTTTAGGACTGTTTTTCTTTATTTTGCTATACTTTTAAAATACAAGAACAAACTTCATAGTATAGTTTACACTTCATAACCAGGGAGATATAGTTGACGTCCCACCTCTCCCACCTACCAGTTTTGTGGACTTCGGCAAGTTACGTAACATCTTTAAGTCTTGATGTCTTCATCTATACAATCAAAATAATAATTCCATTTCATAAGATGCTGTGAGGATTAAATAAAATGTGGCATCAAAGCATCAAAAGTGCTTAGCTTAGCTCCACATATTTTTAGTGCTCAAAAAAATGTTAGTGTTAGGCATAAAAATGTTAGTGATAGTCATATATATATATATAAGTGTGTACATATATTATATATATATGTATATATACTCAAATATATGGGATAGAGTGAACGCTTCTATTTGTACATGAAACATATGCCCTCCCCCCCCAAAAAAGAAACAAGGATTATGAGAAAGTTTTCCTGAACTCCTATCATTTAGATAGCAGAAATAATGTATGTCTATACACAATTACATATTTGGATAATGCCATTTTACACATGACCTTTCCATAAGTAGACAATTAGACTGGATCAGACAATTGATAGAAAAAGAGTAGCAGTAAGCAGACCTCTGCGTCTTTTTGAAGTTGAACTTTTTCTTGCTCCAAAGCCAGGAACTCTACTTGTAACATACCTACCTCATTGATAAACCTTGCGTATATTGGTGTAATTCTTTTCTTTTTTTATAAGCTTTTGATGTTCTGTCACTATGTGGTAGATAGGAACTCACATTTTCTAATTCAGTATTCATGCTTTCATACTTATTAGTATTGTAATTAGCATATAATGGTTTCTGGAACAGGTCCTATATTGCTTTTCTTTTCTTATAAGTGTCTGTAATAGCAAAAATAGAGTGCCTTTTTTGTTGAATCATATGTTTCATTTCTTTGCAGTATGCAAGCTACAAATTAGAAAGGCTTTTGGGATCACTAGGGAAAAAAAAATGAAACATAATGTCATTTCACAAAGATTGTGTTTTTAGAGGAAGATATTATAAGGCTTCACTTAAAAGATATTTAAAAGATTGCAGTTTAAATGAAGATATTGAAAACATCTACCATCTCTAGGGGTTGACATTGAAACAAAAAACAACAGCATTGCTTCTCTGTTCCTCCAAGGTCAACTGAAATGAGGACATCATACTGTTGTCGTTGAGACACTGAGCGTATTTTTGTGTTTCCTATTTAAGATCAATGATTGCAACTATAATCCAGCCCAATAGAGTCCTTAGAGTCAAAAGGACGCAAGTAAGCACTTTGGTAGAGTTTCATGGACAACTTTGCTGTGCTTCTGCAACCTTCAGTTGATTTGGGACATGCCAGGATTAGAATCACTGAGGCACATCGGACTGAGTGGATTTTATGATGAGTACAGCTTGAACGCTATAGTGAGAACATCAATCACTCTTCGCATGAGACTCCAATTTTCAGAAATGGAAGGTAGAAAATGAGGTTATTATTAGGATGAAGGAGACCTGCTTTTATTTTTTTCAGCAAGAGAAACTCATGCTGGATTTAAGGAAGAACTTCTCCAATGCATGAGTAGTTGGATGTTATTTGCATTGGAAGATGTGGGATCTCTTTGAAGAGAGTATTTAAAATATATTTCAAAATTATTTTTCAAGAATTCAGGACCTATTTAGAAACAAATGGATTAACTTTCTCCTTTTTCTTTACTTTTTTTTTCAATGTTTAGTTTGTGATGCTGTGGAACCCATTAACTTTTTTTAACTTTGCTTGAAGTTTTATTCTGGCTTCTCAGATTGATTTTTATTTGTTGCGGTATTAATTCGTAAATGATTATTTTATGTTAACTTTTAGATTTTTTGAAGATTTGTTCTGTAATTTTCTGACATATTTATCAACCTCTTTATTAAAGAAATTTTAAGAGTATTAGCTCTAAGAATGCGGAATATTTTTTGCATATCTTGAACATCAAGGTTTACTACTTACTCTCTCTATATAACTATGAACTAACTTCCTCCATCTCTTTTATCTTTAGAGGTGAATAAAGGTATTTACTTTAGCTACCCATGTCGACGTCACAGCTGTGCTGTAGTAAACATCCCAGCACCATGTGTCAACAAAATGATTTCACACATCCAAGATGTGGAGTCCAAAATACAGGAGCATTTGAAAAGGGTAAGAGACTTATATAAAATGCTGACATTTTTGTAAGCTCTATAGAGCCTGTAAGGGTCTGCTACTTTAAAAATCCAAGAAAATATGTTGATTTTCTAAATGATTATTGAAATACTTTTTAGAATCTGTGCCCAGTTGCATATTTACTAGTCTACACATGTTTTTGATGGTTTCAATTCAGAAGAGTGAAACGACCTTATTAAATAGGTTTTTCTCCCCACCAGTTTGGTCTTTTTCCAGAGGCAAGCATGCTAAGTAATAATTTCCATAAGCCAACTTGACTAGTAAAGTAAATAGTATTTACATACTTTTTGGGGACACTAAACTGATTAGATGATTAGATGAATAAATTGGTGAATAAAAGGACTGTGAGCCCTTTTTAATAAATTATCTCTCTTTCTAAAGAAACACATAATAGGTCTGTTAAAATTTTCCTTTATTATTCTGAAGCAAGTTCAGTCTTGAAGTCACTGTAGCTTTCAATTATTTTCAAAGGATAACTAGGAATGCCAAGAAAACACACACACACACACACACACACACACACACACACACACACACACACACAAAGATTCTCA